CTCTCTCTCTCTCTCTCTCTCTCTCTCTCTCTCTCTCTCTCCCTCCCTCCAGAAGCGGATTATTATTGTTCCCCGGCGGCCTGTGTGTTGGTTCACCGTTATTCTCCATTTTCCGTATCGTCGTTATTTAACGCGTTTCCTTCCCCCGCGAGTAATTGCAAAACGGTTCCAATTGACAATCGAATATTTTTCCAACCCTCTCCTCCCTCTTTCTCTCGATTATTCGATTTTAATTGTTCCTCCATCTCGGTTAACTTCAACTTTTCCGCTCCGCAATTTCTCGTGTTTGGAGATAATTAATCTTCCCCTCTCCTTTTCGAAAATTCGCTCGATTCCTTTCCCTTCCCTTTCCTTTTTTCTTTTTCGAAGGAAAAGGGGGGAAGAAGGAGTTGTGGCGAGTTGACGCGAAATATCGAAACGGAATCCAGGCGTCGAGAATCTTGCTGCCATTCCCCACTGGCGCCTTTATTCCCCATTATGCTCGGTTCATTGTTTCTCGAACAAAAGACGATTCTCCGTGGCGCGTACTTGTGCCGGGAGCTCAGACTGGAACGAGCATCTCAGATTTTATGAATGAATAAATCTAATTGGACGCTTATTACGGGATCGTTTCAGCCTCGAAAGGCTAAATTGCCGGCCTTTTAACCAAATTGCGATCCCCGCGTCCTTGTCTTTTCTTTTCCTTTTTTTTCTTTTTTAATCATCGATTACCTCGTCCTTCCGTATCCGAGTATCGTGTCCTGTTCCATCTTCGTCCACTCCTCGGAAGCGGAATTTCTCAAAGGGAAGTTGTGCATCGATCGGATAAGCAGAATAGAATCGGATAGTAGATAGGCAGCTTCGAAGAAGGAGAATTAACTCTGACAAAATTAGTAATTATTTAGGAGGAGGTTATATAGTCCCGAGAAAAGGTTGCTCGACTTTATGTAACGGATTATGTCGTTCATCGCGACCAAGCCTCTATTATTAGCCGACCAATTTTCTAATGGCTCCGATTTGCCTGATTTGACCACGATCCAAGAATACAAAGAGGCGTTGCCGCGCTCTAAACAACGACTAATTTCTTTCCACCCGATAGATCCGTCTTCCCAGTCTCAATTATTCCTGATTGAAATATTATNCCGCTTTCGCTTTCACTTTCGTTGAATATTTACCGATCGTCGTATTTTTTATGC